GATAGATAGATAGATAGATAGATAGATAGATAGATAGATAGATAGATTATCTGTATGGATGGGGTGCTGAGTCTAATTTCTTCCCAAAAAAACTGAGAAGCAGCTCAAATTGCCAGTTTGTTTATCGACACACTAAGTATTAATGTTTTAATTAGTTGACTATTGGCAACAACAGCAGTTGTGATACAGCCAAAATATATGTCCCACCCCCAAAAAATAGACCTGGGTTTGGGCAAAGTCCTTCACTGGCCAAATCATATAAGACCTGAGAATAGAGGGGGGAGGGGATTCACGAGTCTATGTTCCCGTCGGACCACTTGGATTAAAATCTTCTGGACTTGTTGTCCAATGACACCAAGGAAATGTTACACAGTAAATCTTACTTTTATCTGCCGCCATGTTTTTTTCTCATTCTTTTAGACATATAACGATCCAGTGGAAACAAAAAGTGCCCAGACAAGCCAGGCTTCTCCACATATGATGCCAGCCAACGCGCCCCTGTACAGCGTATCACACCCCCCCCAGCCGTCATCGCCATACCTGGGGCCCGGGGCCTTCCCCCTCACTGACCTGCAGAGCTACGCCGGACACGCTCCCCGCCACGCCCTGTCACAGACGCTCAGCCAATCACAGATGCTGCCCAGCATTAGTGCCTCTCCCCCGTCCTCCTTCCAGATCAGCCCACCCCTTCACCCCCACCAGCAGCTGTCCCTGCACCAGAGCTCGCTTCTCAACCAGCCAATCCGCATGCAGCAGGTCCAGTCCCAGCCAATTATCTCTCACCAGATGGGGCTTCAGCCCTCTCTTCACTCCCCACCTCCAGGACAGCAGGTACAGAAGACAAACCGAGTTCACTTCCTATTGTGAAATCATATACATTTGAAGGCGTTGGCCAACTTTCAAAGTTATTTTTTTTGGGTTGGGTTTTTAGGGTTTTTCCCACCTCCAGTCAGAGTACCAGAAGAGCATCGGGGGTTCCCAGTCTCCCGGAGCCCCTGGACCTGGTCCAGGCCCAGGAGTGGGTCAGACCCATGACTGGGACAATGAATACTGCAATCGGGAGTGTGGCAACCACTGCAGGTCAGTGTAGAGACAGATCTGTCAAAGCGTGTAGTGGCATTTAGAGAGGAGGCAGACTGATCCGGCTCAGCCAAATGGACAAAGATGGCACTTTATGTGTTTGCTCTGTGAGCTGATCTCTGTACTTTAAGGGATTCCAGCAGTTTTGAGTCAGATAGACGCAATCCAGCCTCGGCCTTTTACCCGCACGGCCTTTGAAAATAAGTGCACGGTATACAGGAGTGACAGATATACCCACCAGTGCTTTCACAGTGTGAGCGTTGAAAATCGTCAGTACCATTCCAGAGAGACAGGGGAGACAGCTGGAGAGGTAATGGTGAGATAATAGGGTCTGTCATGTGTTAGTCAGAGCAGTAAAAACGAACAGATGTTTCTAACACAACTTTTCACTTTTATGATACTAAATGCTTTAGCGGCGTGTGAGGTCCTGGGCATACAGTATTCACCCAGCGGTGCCATTCCTGCACAGATTCTATGATTATTTAATGAACGGGGTCAAATTTGAGCAACAAACAGACCGAGCTTAATGAGACGGGGACAGCCATCGTTAAAGACTGAGGCACGCCCCCCCTGCACGATTGTTTTAGTTTTTATTCGGTTTGTTTTTTGAACAGCTGTATTTTATGACAGGCTCTAACCCTTGGCTCTTTTCTTTTGTTGTTATTGTTGTTTTTGTTTTACAGTGGCAGCATGATAGGCAGGGATAAGTCACTCTACCTCACCGGAAACTGAAGATCATACTCTGCTGACAAATACGACACCAAGGAGTCTACTCTCTACCCCCCCCCACCCCCTTCCCGTTCCCCCCCACCTCCAATTTCTCTTCTGATGCACACACTTACATCCAGCTCACAATTAACATACAGTTACACACATACACGGACACACACACGCACATCCAGCTTCCCTTACACCACCCCCCTTTTTTTGTCAGTGTAATTTTTTATTTCTCTCAGTTTCTTGAATTTGTGACCAGAGTTTTTTGACTAGATGACTACTGTCTGTACCACTTATTGTATTAGCAGTCCTCTCGCTGTTCAAATTTGCCAAGCACTTATAAAAACCCTCCCCTACGTCCTCCCTGTGCCTCCAACTTCCACGCCCAAAGTGGTGTGTCTGAGCCCTCTGTGATGCAGGTCGGGCTGTGGAGCACTCCTCTTGTGTGTCACCATCAAAGTCCCCCTCAGGGACCCCATCCAGCTTTAATTAGAATGAGAGAAGAAAAGAAAAAAAAAACATACGCTTCCTCCTCTTTATTCACTTTGTTTTTCTTTATTTTCCTCTTTTTTGTTGCTGCTGTCTTATTTATTTCTGGCTTGCAAATTTGTTTCTCTTTTATTTTTTTTATTTTTTTTTGCAAATAAGCGGTGGGTCCTGTACTGTAGAAGAATATTAACTTCTAGTAGGTTCAGCGCAGGCCTTCGTGTTATGGTAGCTTTGCTTAAGGGCCTGAAAATGAATACAGAAAAAGCTTGGGTGGTGAAGAGAAAGAAAACAGAAATAATCTTTTTTTAATATTAAAGACCTGTTGAGGTCTACGGAGCTGTCACAGTGTGATTGTAAATATCACTTTTATTGGATCAAATTGGAAATCAGAAGTCCAGATTGATTTGTTTCTTCTTTAATATTACATGTATCTTGTTACGTGTCTGTGTGTGTGTGCGTGTGTGTGTGTGTGTGTGTGTGTGCGCGTGTTTGAGTACGTCTGGACGTTAGAATGTACCACATTCATGACGTGAGCAGCTGGGTATGTATGTGGGTGTGTGTGTACGTACACGGACACACTCTTGCGTGTGTCTCAGTGTTCGAGTCTTTCTCGTGAATTTTAACAGCCTTGTGCAGCTGGATTTCAGAGGAGTATTTCACACTTTCATTCTTGCATTAAATCTGTGCTCACTGGTGTGTTTTTTTCCAATAAAGTTCAATCTAAAACTGAATACACAATATGTGTCCTGCAGATCATTAAATGGAAAGAGCCAGGTGAGAGATAGAGAGCATAGAGACAGCAAAGAGACGCTGTGAGATAAAATGAGATGTAATGTCACAGGTAGAGAGAAAAAAAAAGAAGAAATTGCCTCAAAATGCCTGCCCCTCCCTTTTGTTTTGTTCTTATTTTTTTCTTCATTTGTCTGACCATCATGTCAACATTGTCTCCTCAGCATGCAGAAGTGAAGAACTGCAAAATGTGAATGGAGCCATCACACCCACATTACAGTGATTTTTATAAGTTTCCGCTTGGTGTTTGGTTGTGTTGATCTCATGTCTTTAACTTTTTGTGTGATTAACAGAAATGCATTTTGCTAACAGAGACATCTTGTTTTTATCTCTTATGTGTAGCAGAATTTCAGTTTTTAGTTGCTGCAAGACAATTACATTTAAAGTTGTGTAAAAATAACTGCCAAGTGTAGTAATTTTATTTGTAAAGCCAGTAATGATAAATATTTTAAATGGTTATACATTGTTTCTGCTAGTTGCCCATCAGCTGTTTGACAGGCTTTCTTATTTATGAAAGAGATGAGATCATTTTTGCTTCTTACGATGGAGGTGTATTTTTATTCTTATTTGAATATTTCTTTGCTTTGGTTTGATAAAAAAAAAAAAAGGTTGACAACCACAACACGATTTTTTGTTATTTTTTTATATTTTGGGTGCTGCCTCTTTCTTTCCTTTCCAACAGCATCAGTTTGTGTCACAATGCTTCTTTAATTTCAAACCTGCATAATAAAGTAAAAAAGTTTAAAAGTGAACTTGCCGAATGTCTGTTCATTTCCCCGAAGACGTGTTGTCTCTTTCTGTCCTCTCCTCTAATTAGATGATCACACCTTTTATTAAAGATATGATAATAGTTATTTTAAAGATACATAAACACCCACGACTCCCTCTCATGCACTTTATATTTGCTCTTAAGAGGGTCACATTTGTATCCTATATTTATATTTATCCCTGATGGCACTGGCTAATTAAGCCTGGATAGATCGAGTGTGTACCAGCCAGCATGGATATTGCCAGTAAACTATCTCAGCAAACTGGAGAGCAGATGCGAGAAGACGTTAGCTTTGCTTGTGAAAGTAGTGCATCGTAGGCGTCTAGTGTGAGATAAAGAGAACAGAGAAATGCGATGTGCATACAAACTCAGGCAGTCGTCCAAGGGCTGATTTTACCCCAATTGCACACAAAGTCTTCTTAGAGACTTCATGAGAGAGGGAAAGATAGATTGAAATGGAACTGTCACAATCCCTTCATTCAATGTTTTATTCATTTTACGCCTGCCTGCCGTCTCTTCTTCAGCGGTATTGAATTGGCAAATAGATCATTATTGGACAATTGGAAAACCTGCCACTTTGTGATATGACACACATTATATGAAAATCACAGTCATACATTCTTAATGCAGTGTCAGATGAAAGGGGGTTTGGGTGCAGCCACACAGACTTGCCTCCGTGCCTTTTGTGTACATACAGTCGTGTCTGAATGAATATCTGCTTATGAATATCCGTGTGTGAGTGTTTGGGTGTTGCCTCTCCCCTCTGACGGTGGGCATATAAAAGCAATACGATAACAATGAAGTCCGTCCGTCTCGGGGGAAAAAAAAAAAAAAGAAACTACCACATATTAACTCTGTCATCCGCAGCTATTGTATGTAGTGCAGTAAATACTGCAAGGGACACCATCCATTTCTCCGAGCTGTCAGTGTCTTTAATCACATCCCTCAACCCTGAGAGAAAGTGATGAGGGCAACTGGAGCACGAGGAACCAACTTATAGTGGAGCATGTGACTGAAAAGAATCCATGAAATGGTCATGTGGGTAGTATAAGAACCAGACAAATACGGTTAGAGAGAAAGACAATTCCGTGGCGTCTATGTGAGTCCAAGAAAATTGTTCCATTACTATTTAGTTGAAAGCAAACCATATTTAGTTAATAGTGATGCAAGTATTGCAGCTGCATTAAACCTGAAATTTCAAGTTGGTAAGTTTCTTGAAATTCACCAAGTTACAAAGTATGAAATGGAACATCTCAGCACTGGAGCCAGTACAGCTCCTTTGTCCTGCTTTGTGTAAGCGATTGCCAGAAATTACAGAAAATAAAGTATCGAAGACTGACAATAACTGTGATGGTGAAATGATCAATTAATGATCAATGAATCCAAAACAATGAATGTGGTTTGATGTTACCTAATAAAGAACATTACTGGATTCCGGTGGAATCCTGTAGTATGCTTGACATTGTTTCTTTCCTCTTCCTGAGATGAAAAAGATTGAAAATTTAAAAAAGCTTACACCAGAACAAAAAAAAACAGAGTTGCATTCATTTCATGGGAGTAGAACTTTTTTTTTCTTTTTAAATTAATTTTCTGTGTTGCTATTATATTGTTAGCTTTTGGTTTAGAGAATTGTCAAGTGAACAGTCCTGTTGTGGATAAACAATCACCAACTATAAATAACATAATGATATAAAACATTTGCATGAAAATAATGAAAAAAAATTAAATGGAAAAAAATAAAATAATAAAAACATAATTGAAAATAATAAAAGATAACCTGACACAAGTTAGATGGTCAGTTCTTAGAAGGTTAAACTAAAGAAGTCTAATTTGAATGAACTCCAATCACGAGTCTCTCAAATGCTACAGCGACTGCAGCATTCAGCCAAAACTTTTCAGTTGCAACCTTTGATCTGCGGTGGAGAGACAAACGGCAGGAAATGTGGGTGGTTTTGACAAGAAATGAGTTTTGCTTTGTGTTCAGAATCAGTTAAGGTTTCTCCTTTGTGCTGAGTGTTCTGTATGAGTTATTAATTTGTTTCCAACTGAAACCTGTCTGCAGATTTTCGAGGCAGAAGGGGTCAACGCTGAATGTTCCTCTGTTTGCTTCGTTCATGATTTTTATGCATAGGTTTGCTTTTCATGATTTATGAATGTCTTAAGGATTCATTGCAATTATGTTTTGTGTTAGAAATGGCTGTTTTTCACAAAGTAGTAGTTTAGCATGATTTTTGCACATTTCAGTGGTACTAATGCAAAGTACAAGAACACCAAAACAAAGAGAGGATGCAAAAATATGTCACTTGGGGCTCGACATGACGCAAATGGCACACTTGTGGTTTCACACCTGGAAGTATTTACATAATCTATCCTATATGCAATGTCAGCTTTGGCAACCATTTGTTATTACCAGTCAACTGAATTGGATCAATTTCCTGTGTTCTATTATGGCAGGAGTCACCAAATGCTTTGGGTGGTTTATTTGTCTTATTGTTGGAAGTTCTTTTTTTATTTTTTTATTTTTTTTTGAGAAATTCCCCCTCGCACTTATTGTGAAACATCAGGTGATTGAGAATTTCTCAGTATGACTGAATATAACCGAATTTAAATCTTTCAATATCAATTTGGCAACCATGGTTTGCACCCCTTGAGACTATTTAAAAAGCTTCTAATATTCATATGATCTTACCCTTCAACAAGGTAGCAATTTTATTTCCAAAATTTTTTATCTTGATGGAATGCAACTTAATCCTTCTGTTAGACATATTTACCAACTCGGTTCCCTCTTCTATGCTTTAAAGTAAATTTAAGCAACTTCCTTTTAAAATTGCTCAGCTGCATCGTCCACCTCAGCTCATCACATCACATGCAATACTTCACGTTCAGTCTGAAATGTTGCAGTTGGACAAAAAGGACTCAAAAACTCTACCTTGGCAATCCTTCATTTCATTTAGGCAGAAAAACTGCTTACGGCATGATGCTTAAAGCCTACCCACATTTTTTTGCAACGTGGCATTGAACCATTAACTGTCGCGCGAGAGATTACATGTTCCAGATTTATCCTTTTTTCCTGCCTTCTTCACGTTTTAAATCCACGCTTAAGGTGAGAGAGGAAAACAGAGTTATTGGTTACGCATTTCCCCACTCGTGGGCTCACATTCTCGTGATGCAACGCTTACACTCGTCCACAAAACAGCAGTCTGATACACATTACTGCATCGCCATCTTTAACCATTACCTGGTTCACTACCATTATTTGGCCATGCACAGCTTACACACAGGATGAAGTCATTAGTGAATTAGTTATGTCACATACATACAGGTTTTTTCAGGTTTAGCTATTTCTGGTCTGGCCATGGGAAACTATTTCTCAGAAGTTTTATGTTTCCCCAACGGTGTCACTTGTCAAGAAAGAGAAAGTTATGCTAAAAGAAGATACTTCTGATATTTCGTGGACATGTGAAAATTGCGGTTCAGAGCATTAAGTCATTGGTGGAAGGAATGGGACGTAAAGCCCCGCTCTCTGCACCTTACTCCCTCTCAATTGTCTAGAGTTTGTGTGGAACAGGAGTCCTTATCACCACAAAACTCACTGACTAAGAGGTAAAATAATAAAAGCCGCACATTTCTTACATCTCAGCAGTTCTTAAGTCTCGACTTGAAATGGCACTGAGTCAGATGGAAAACCACACATATAACCATTTTCTCATCACCCTTGCAGCTGTCTGCGAAAGGCAGGTTTCTTTGTGCCCTGGATCACCTCACACCGGAGCCACAGAAACACGGACAGTCACACGCAGTCATTTTAGATGTTTGTTAAACACCACAGCTGCTCCGTTTGAGCAATATCGCCCACGCACGCTGCAACTCCAATCCACTGGTGACTGCACGTTGGGGAGAGTGTCAGAAATGAAGCAGCCATGTCATTGCAATAGGTTTCTGGTCCAGGTACCAGGGATTTTAGGGTTCGTTTTGAGCACTTGTTTTGAGGACTTTCACAGTCATACATTTAGCATTAAACGCTATTAGAATAGGCCCGATCATGAGAATGGGAAACGATTCAACTGAGTGTATTGCAACATGTTGGCATCTTTTAGCATCGACAGTCCCACCATTTGGCTGGCAAAAAAAGGTCCTTGTTCTTAAAATCAGCACCATAGCAACCAAGCTGTGGAACAAGCTTTGCCAATGTACAGTAAACATAGCATCAAGATATTATATAGACATACTACATGCTTTCCCACTGCTGTGCTGGTAGATATGTAGATAGATTACTTTATTCCTCCCCGAAGGGAAATTTGATTGGTAGATTGGTAGATTAAATAGAAAATGGTCTGGAAAATAACAACATTGAATTTCCATCTGAAAGCTTTCAACACACTACCCCCAGTGATTAAAATGAAAGACGCATGGTGATATCTGATGAGGAAAATGAGGGAAAACGATCAAATGCCTTTCAAGTAATGACTGTTCCTTTGGCAAAATATGTATTCAATACGAATCAAACATGTACACTCTTCAAATGTTATAGAATTCTTTATCTACGAGACGTAATCTGACCACTTAAAACACAGGACTGTTGATTATTGGTCAGGATTTGAAATTTCCTTTTAGAAATGAGATCACGTTGTCAGTGACAGACACTGGGCAAATATAAGGAGAAAGCTTAAAAAGAGAAACAGGAGTTGCTGGCCATCAAGTAAAATGCAAGAAAAGTGAAGTAAATGTGAGGATTTATTGAACTGGAGACTGTTTAACGGAGCTGAGACTCTCAGGATCTATGAGAAAATCAAATGTACGGTGGGAAATCACTTCGTGTAAGCAGTAACCACAAAGGTATGTTGTCTCTACTACAGAGGACTTGACATCCTTTAATAGGCCCAAAGAGGTCTAAAACACACCTAAGATAATGCTGATCAACGCGTATTACATTTTCTTCAACAGCAGAAAATTGTCCAATTTTTAGCAATTCCTGGAAGCGCG